AGCGTCGGGCTCTGGGCTGATGGCTCAGGCCTGGGCCTGTTTCAATTCTGTGTCTCCTCTCTCTCTGCCCCTCCCCGTTCATGCTCTGTCTCTCTGTCCAAAATAAATCTGAAAAAATTAAAAAAAAATCATCATGCTAGGTGCTGGAAGACTGACAACTGAAGCCATACTTTTATTGTTCAATCATAAATATTGTTACCTCTGCTTCCCATGTATATTTTAATACTAAGAGAAACCTACATTTCTTATCTTATAGATGAGTTTGTGATCAAAATTCTGTGTGCCTCAAGGGTTGCGGGTGCCCAATCAAGACTGAAGAGCCACATTCAGGAACATAATGAGGTGTGTGTGATGAATTTAATCTCTGTCTTCTTTATAACTAAGTGGATTTTGGTTGAAACATATATTTAAAAACACAACTTGGCTTAGGAAACCCTAAACAAAACCTTCAAATTCATTGTTTTTTGTTTTATTCTCTTAAGAACACTTCTGCACATTTCTTCTATCCTCACAACATTTTGGTTCTTTGTGGAGTGCCTCCTTTGTTAAAATGATAGCTTTGAAGAGTATATTTATGGCTTGCATTTGGTCTAAAACACTTAAAATATCGACTTTATAGAATGTCACATAGACAGATTTCAGAAATGTGGTGTGCTAAATTCCATCTTTCCTCTGTTACTCTTCTGTGATAATAATTTGGGGTTCTCCTTGTCACAATCTATACAAATTCAGGGAAATTCTGAACTGGGCATTGAAAGATAACACAGAAAAGGATTTTTTTTTTTTAATGTCGCAATCTACATGGAAGAGGGCTGGTAGCAGTCCTTTGTCATTTAGCTCCCCCCCGTTAAGTTTGCATTCATTATCAAACATTTAATGTTTATAGTCTATCCCTATCGTGCAAAGGTGGTTTTGTTAGTTTGGAAACACTGAGCTTGTGTTTAATCATTTTTTATTAAAAATATTTTTAATGTTTGTTTATTTTGGAAAGAGGAGAACAGGAGATGAGCAGGAGGCAGAGACAGGGGCAGATCCAAAGCAGGCTCTGAGCTGTCAGCACAGAGCCCCTACTAAAATGGGACTCGCTCATGAACAACAAAAATCATGACCTGAGCACAAAGTCAGATGCTTAACATTTTAATTGCCACCCAAAACCCTGCAGCCAATTTAAAAAACAAGTCTGAGTCCCCACACTGTTAAAGGTATAAAGCATAACCAACCTTTCACTCTTAGCTATATATGCCCCAAGAGAAAGAGAAATATATGTCCACAGAAACATTTCATGGTGTTTCAAGAACAGCAGTAATAACCATGAACCAAAAGTGGAAATGACCTGAGCGTCAATAACAAATGTATTGGATAAATTAAGCATATCCATACAACAGGGTATTTATTATTCAGCCATAAAAGGATGAAATGCAAGGACACATACAAGGGATGAGCCTTGAAAACATGCTATGTGAAGAAACCAGACACAAAAGACAACATATTATATAATTACATTTTATAATAATGCTGTAGAACAGTAGTCATAAAAGACAGAAAATAGGTAAATGGTTGCCTAGTGTTTGGAAGGTAAACAATCCCAAGTAGTTAAAGAACTGTCTTTGAAGTCTCAAAAGGTAAGTGTAAACACGAATACAGTAGTAAATATGAGCTAAACATAGGATATAATAGTACTTCCCTTATCAGGAGGGTATACTTTAAGACCCTTCAGTGGATACCTAAACCTACAGATAGTACCAAATCCTATAACAGACTATATTTTTCTATACAGACATGATAAAATGCCAATTTATACATTAGACTCAAGTAAGAGATTAGCAATAGCAACTAATAATAAAATAGAACAATTAGAACAATATACTCTAATAAAGTTATATGAATGTGGTCTCTCTCAAAGCCTCCTATTATACTGTACTCACCTTCTTGTGATGATGTGAAATGATAAAATCTCTGCATGAGGAAGTGCAGTAAGGTGACTGACATAGGCATTATGATGCAGTGTCTTACAAACCTTCTGACCATACATCAGGAGGAGGATCATCTGGGATACAGTTGACCACAGATGACTGAAACCATGGAAAGCAAGAAGCATGGATAAGGTGGGGACTACTTTATCTGAAATAGTCAAAATAGATGGACTGTATTGAACAATAATATGGATGAACCCTGGCAATCTAATGTTTAAAAGAAAAAAATTTATTCCTTAAGGTTCTATGGGACATGGCCATTTCATAAAGTGAAATTTAACAAGAAAATAAAATAGATCAAAGTAATCTTATCCTGAGTTCTTAAGTTCCCACTTAAAATTAGCACTTCTAAAATAAGAATTTTAATAATTTAAGCTTTATGGATTATAAAGGGAATATGATTTATCTCTGTGAATTCCATATACAACTGATTATACTAGAACCTGAGCTAAATGGATATCCAAGGAAATTTTAAACTGCATGATAGTATGCAACAATAAGTTCCTTGTATTCTATTATGGATTCTTTACAATTTCTACTTATGTGACCATGTTAAAAGTTAGGAAGTTTATGAAAATAGTCTATTTCACTTTTTTTTTTTTTTTTAATTTTTTTTTTCCAAGCGTTTATTTATTTTTGGGACAGAGAGAGACAGAGCATGAGCAGGAGGGGGGGGCAGAGAGAGAACCCTGAGAGGCTCGGAAACAGGCTCCCAGGCTCTGAGCCATCAACAGACCAGAGGCAAGCGTGGGAGGGCTCGAACTCACGGACAGCAGATGCGTGACCTGGCTGAAGTCAGGGCAGCAACCGACTCGCCGCCAAGCAGCCCCTAGTCTATTTCACTTTTAATGTTAATTTTTCTCCCTAAATTTTTGGCGTGAGGGTGGTTGAAACCAACCTGGAATAGTGATGTGAGATTATAAATTTTGACCATGACCAAAGAAAAGACCATTAAAATAGTATGTATCTCAAATATCACAATCATGGGAGAAGCAAATAAAATTTAATTTACCTCTTACCTCTGAGATGGGTTTTATATATATAAACTACTTTTCAAAAAAATGTTTATTTAAAATTTTTAAAGTTTATTTATTTATTTTTTGAGAGAGAGAGACAGAGAGAGTGAGCAGGGGAAGGGCAGAGAGAGAGAGAGAGAAGAGGAGAGAATCCCAAGCAGGCTCTTTGGCCAGCACAGAGCCCAATGTGAAACTCAAACTCTGGAAAACTGAGATGTGACCTGAGGCCAAAACAGCGGACACTTAGCCAGCTGGGCCACAGGCACTTCTTATTTATTTATTTTTAGAGACAGAGATAATCAAGTGGGGGGGAAGGGCAGAGGGAAACAGAGAATCCCAAAACGGGCTTTGCACTGTTAGTGTGAGGGGCCTCATGCAGGGGCTCCCTTGAACCCCTGAGATCACTACCTGAGCTGAAATCAAGAGTCAGATGCTTAACCTACTGGGCCCCTCAGAAACCCCCACTTTTTTTAAAGTTTATTTATCTATTTTGAGAGACAGAAAGAACACCAATGAGGGAAGAGCAGAGAGAGGGAGAGAGATCCCAAGCAAGTTTCGTACTGTCAAAGCATGAGATTGGTCTGCAGGGTTTTGATCTCACAGAGTGTTAGGTTATGACCTGGAGCAAAATCAAGGAGTTGGATGCTCAACTGACTGGAGCCACCCAGGCACTTGTCTTTTTTTATTCACAGCTCAGCCCTGAATTCTTTCATTCATTTTTTTAAAAATCTTTTATTCATTTTGAGAGAGACAGGGGCAGGACAGAGAAGGAAGCGAGACACAGAATCCAAAGCAGGGCTCCAGGCCTGAGCTGTCAGCCCAGAGGCCTGATAATGGGCTCGAACTCGACAAGAGATCATGACCCCTGAGCCAAAGTTGGATGCTCAGCCTGCTAAAGAACCACCAGGTGCCCCTCTTTTACATTCATTTTAAAAACCAAAGATAAATTTTTCTGACCCTGATTTGGAAATATTTTCCAGGCAGGATGCAAAAGCATGAACTGTGAAAGAAGGAAAATAATTTGGACACCTCAAAACTAAAACATTTTGATCCAGATGGCCAACCGACACACTAGAAAAAATGTTCCAACTTCACTCATCATCAGAAATACAAATCAAAACCACAATGAGGAGTGCCTGGGCTCAATCCAGTTAAGCATCTGACTTCCAGCTCAGGTCATCTCACAACTGTGAGTTCAAGCCCCTTGTCCGGGTTCTGACAGCAGCTTTCGAGACCTGGAGCCTGCTTAGGATTCATGTCTCCCTCTCCTCCTGCTCACACACTCTGTCTCTCTCTCTCTCAAAAAAACAAATAAACAGTAAAAAAAAAAACTAAAAAACAAAACAAAAACAAAAAACAAAATCAAAACCACAAGCAGAATACCTGCCACCTGTCAGAATGGCTAACATTAACAACTCAGGCAAAACAGATGTTGGCAGGGATGTGGACAAAGAGGATCTCCTTTGCATTGTTGGTGGGAATGCAAGCTGGGTGCAGCCACTCTGGAGAAAACAGTATGGGCTCCTCAAAAAACTAAAAATAGAGACACCCTACGACCCAGCAATTTGCACTACTAGGCATTTATCCAAGGGATACAGGTATGCTGTTTGAAGGGCACATACACTAATGTTTATAGCAGCACCTTTATCAGCAATAGCCAAAAGTGGAAGAACCCAAATGTCCATCGATGGATGAACGGATAAAAGATGAGGTATATATATACAATGGAGTATCCTTGAATCAAAAAGATAAGAAATCTTGTCATTTAACTAGATGGAACTGGAAGTATTATGCTAAGTGAAATTAGTCAGAGGAAAGACAAAAAAATCATATGAATTCACTCCTATGACGACTTTAGAAGATAAAACAAGATGAACACAAGGAGGAAACAAAAAATAATATAAAAAACAGGAGAGGACAAAACATAAGAGACTCCTTAAATGGAGAACAAACTGAGGTTACTGGAGGGTGGGAGGGATGGGCTAAATGGGTGAGGGACATTAAGAATCTACTTCACAGAAATGTTGTTGTACTATATGCTAACTAATTTGGATATAGGAATTTTAAAAAAAAACACAAAAACAAAACTAAAACATTTTGGAGCACCTGGGTGGCTCAGTCAGTTAAGCATCTTGATTTCAGCTCAGGTCTTGAGAATCTCTCCAGTTGGAGTTCAAGCCCCGCCAGTGGAGTTCTGTGCTTTGGTCTTGAACCTGCTTGGGATCCTTTCTCTACCCCCCTCTCTGCCCCTCCCTACTCAAGCTTGCACTCTCTTTCTCTCAAAATAAATAAATAAACTTAAAAAAAAAAAAAACTAAAACCTTTTGCTTTTAAAAACCACTGTTAAGAAAATGAAAAGACAAAGCATAGATGGCAGAAAATATTTGCAACACATATACCTAATAAAGGAGTTATATGTTGAATAAACAAATAATTCTTTTCTAATTTTTTTTTTTTAATTTTTTTTTTCAACGTTTATTTTATTTTTGGGATGAGAGAGACAGAGCACATGAAGCGAGGAGGAACTGTGAGGGGAGAGGGCCTAGAATGGGAAACGGGCTCCAGGCTCCTGGGCCATCCAGCCCCAGGCCTGTGAGGAGCCTGAACTCAACAGGACCCTTGAGTAAATTGACCTGGCTGAAAGTTAAATAAACGTTGAAAAAAAAAATTAAAAAAAAAATTAGAAAAAGAATTATTTGTTTATTCAACATATAACTCCTTTATTAGGTATATGTGTTGCAAATATTTTCTGCCAATCTATGCTTTGCCTTTTCATTTTCTTAACAGTGGTTTTTGAAAAGCAAAAGGTTTTAGTTTTTTTTTTTTTTAAGTTTATTTATTTATTTTGAGAG